TCCATAAATGATTGAGAAGAAAATAAAAGAAAATGGTGAACATTTTTGTATTTTAGTTTGCTACTTTTTCAACGCAAAATGAAACCGGTCTAGATGCCGCTCTAGATGGGAAAATCTAGACCGCGGTCAACATCGATTTCAGCCAATCAAATTCGTGAATTCTGTAGTTCCCAGTCCTTCTGAGACACAGCCATATAATAAATAGAAATATTAATTTCTCGGGTCTTGACAACGCGAATGGACTCCACTGAAGTCCACAGATCAGAAAAATCGAAAATACCGAGGGTTGATATTCTCTCACTATCCCACGGTCCCAGGGGCAAGCTTGGTCAATAAGAGTGTTATTGCACGACTAAATAACTGAAAAAGAACTACACAATATCCGTAAATTATTCTTCATTTAGAAATCGTGATAGGAAGCGGAAAAAGTGTCGAAAGCAAACTGGGAAGATAATTTTCAACTTCACGCTGTACAACGTAAAACAATGGGCAACTCTAAATGGTCCAAAATTGAACTGCTTATGCAATATTTTAGGTGGTCTAAGCCGTAATATAGTCGTTTGACTTTAATAAGCTAAAAATTAAAATGTGGTTGTTTCCAACAGCTTTCTCCTTGGTATTTATTACGAGATATAGAAATTGCGGTATTTTATCACCGCGTCAGACAGAACTTGAATATTAAGATTTAATTGCAAAAGTACAAACTGTGATTATTCCAGAATATGTTTGTCGCAACGTGATAAAATGATATTCATACGACGCCGTGGGTGTCTACAGATGCCGATCTGTTTCAGTATCACCGCCAAAGCTCTTGCAGAGGAATATCATTCTAACTTAATCCTTTCTCCAGGCATAAAGAGTCGAAGACCTCTAAATTCAAAATTCATAATATGCTCCTCGTATTTTACTTGTGATTGGCTAAAACGCCTCAAGGTTAAACAAAGGTTGACGCCATAAAATACGGACTTATTCTTGAACATGCATATTTTATCATCAGTGAGAACTTGGAGCAGGTAAGTAGTAAAGTGCTCTCAAAGTCGTCTAGCTTCGTCCGTGCTCGAGCTGAAGGCTTCCTACATGGAACACACATTAAAGTTTTAACTTATTTATCGTTTTCTTCGTTAAACGGAGTTTTCAGTCTGGCATTAACGAGCAATCCCAATGAGTTTCTCCTACAATGTAATACAAATGTTCTATTCAATATCTTGCTTTCCGATGAGTCATTAAAAGTCAGCAATTAATTTTATGAAGAATTACCATCTTGTCAGTACCCTGAGCTCGCTTGTTAGCAGTGGTTTAATTTGAGTATAAATAGAGGCTCCAAGATTGCTAGGCAAAAGAAGTTGTCAGGACTACCGTCGCCAATTTTCTTTTGTTATAACAATGTGTCTTTTTGAGTCCAATTGCAGACGAAACCTTTTTTTCCTGAGAGTTGTTTTGGAAACCGTTATGTATATCGTGGAGCGACACTTGAAATGTTGCTTATTGAAACGGGAGCAGGTTATTATGATAAAAGAACTACACAAAGCAAGCAAAATGAAGTTAACAGATTTTAAAGATGTCTCAGTGGCGGACTTTTTTTGATATCTAAAAGACGAGGATAATGATGCGCTAGTGAAAAAGATCTGCACGGAATAGAAGAATAATTAAGGACTGATAGCGGCGAAAAAGTTATTTCCATCGATAAAGCATTGTGAATTTTATCTCGCGGTCAACCCACGCAAAGATTCATACTATTCTATCTTCGGAAATGCTTTCAAGAATTCACAATTTACTGTGGCAATACTAGACATTCGGCACAACTGAAGAATTTCACTCGATAAGACTTGAATTGAATTTTAATACATTAAAAAGTAGAAGAGGGTTTTCTTCATTTAGCGTACAGACGAGGAATTTTTTTAACATTAACCAGATAAGTCACTAGTTATTCTTTTCGTGGGAGATCGTCTCGTATTTTCGATGTGTTTTCGAATCGGTTCACCCTTCAGATAAGCGTTAAAATTTTTCGCGAAGGCCATGACCGGCAAAGAAAACGCTAACACACCAAAGACCGCGCAGATACCGCCAACAACTTTTCCAAACCCAGTTATCGGGTAATAATCGCCGTAGCCCACTGTACTTACAGTTGTTAAACTCCACCAGAATGCGTCGGGAATGCTGGAAAAGTGACTTCCGTCCATTCCTAGATCTGTGTAGAACACCGCACTCGAGGACAGAATAATTATCATAAACATAAATAACATCATCATTTCTAGCTCGCTTAGGCTCTCGCGAACGGTAAACATCATTACTTTTAATCCGCGCGAGTAACGGGTTAGTTTCAAAATGCGAAATATTCGTAGAAGTCGCGCGATTCGGAGAACTGCCAGAGATACCAGGCGACGATTCCCTCCGATTAAAATGGTGAAAAACGGTATAATGGCTAGGAGATCTACAAAGTTTAGAGGCGATAGAAGGAAATGGAAACGGTTCGGAGCCGATGCGAAGCGCACCAGATATTCAATTAAGAACCAGGAGTAACAAATAGTTTCCAGAACTATAAAAACTTCCAAGGTCTTGTAGGTACAGTTTTCCAGTTCCTCGCTCAACTCGGCCGTATTGCAGGTCAGCATTACGTTTTCTCCGTCTTTCTGGGCTGTTGTGTCGTTGCATCTGACATTCACTTTAGGGTCGCATTCTTTGGCTCCTCTAAAGCTAGGCAAAGTTTCGAGGCAAGATATTATGACTGATGTGGCAATCATGAATATAGAAAACAAGGAAATGACTCGTGCAAAATTGGATGTATCGGGATGTTCGAACAAGTTCCACACTCGAGTTTGAAATGTCCATTGGGGAATAACACGCTGACGCCGTCGATCTTGATACAAGCATTTTGCTACACTCTTCAGAGCTTGCTCTCCCAGTTGAAAAAACTCAACTTCCTCCGTAAACACGCTGGCTGGAATGTCGTCAGGCCATATGAGCCTACCACCTGATTGGTAATAAAATAGAATCGATTCGAAAGCCACTCTGTGGCGATTAAAGAAATATTCCTGAACGGTAGGATTGTAATATTGTTTCCTTCTCGAGGGGCTACCGAGAAGAGTGTCTGGAAAACGACGAAGCGTTTTTTCTTTCGTTTCAAATGTCATCCCGCTGACGTTGATCACAACACGCTCGTCCATTTTATACATTCATGTTCGTTGTCTCGGCGAAGGAATTTACGAAACCCACTGAGCAAGCCACTTTCGAAGCTTGTAATTTATGGATAAAAACAAACCCCGATTGTACCTGTAGAAATTTGTTTGCCGCCGCATTCATCACGTCAATTGTGACCCACTTTTTGCGGTGCCCAAAGTTCGATTTCTCGTCAACGATTCGCCATTTTCAAATGGTACGCAAGGCCTTGTTTATAAGTTAAAATGGTCTTGACAGTCACTCTTAGCTTGAATGCAGCTGCACGATTGTTTTGAATATCGAGAAAAGGAGAGAGACGAAGTGATAAGTAATTTAATGAAATATGGATAAGCAGATCTGGTGCCTACGCGCAAAACAACCAATGAACGCTTGTGAAAACAATAAAAAATTTGACATCTGAATGTCTAGAATTAACCTTCGGCCCACTTTCGACTAAATTGACAAGGCCCTTCGTTCACTCAAGCAAAATAAAATACGGATGGCTTTTGGACAAGAGGAAATATTTTGGTAAGATGGATTGAAAACAATCAATGTTATAACTATAAGTGCTATTTTATTGCTTAAAGGAAAATCTATGTACAGCGCAACAGCAGAATTATTTTTTATTTAACGTGGACGTAAATTTATACACAACACCCCGATGCGGCAGGTCTAATTTAAAGGAATACGTATATCAGCTTAGCACCTAAAATTGTTTGACATCTACTTCTGAATTCCTGGTCATTTAATTACAATAACAAGATGATCAGGAGAAATGCGAGTATCTAGACAAAAAAAAAAAGAAAAATAGGAACAATTTCATATTTTGTTAACTATCAAAACGAAAACGCACTTGGAATAAAAAAATATTGATCAAGGCTAGTCGAAAACCAATAACAGTTCATCCATATTTATTGCAATTTCACATGTCATAGCAATATTGAAAAATCCTCGCCATAATATTGTAAAATTACATCGTTTCGAATTAAAATATTTACGAAGACCACCAGTCGGCGGGCAAAATAAAGCAGACGGATTTTTATCAAATAAACGCAAACAATTTGTTGCGTACATCAAACAAATATTGAACAATGTGGAAATTATAATAAGCAAGATTTAAATTTAACCAAAATTAAATATGCCATGACGACATAAATGAAAAAAAATAATGAAACGTGGAAATATAAATGATAACATAGATTCCAAACATTTCTTGTTATTTCACTCCTTTTTTTTTCGGTGTTAGCGAATTTACATAAACATTGGAGAGCCTATCAGCTAGCATAATAATTATTATATTCCTATAACGTTAAATTCCACTCACGAAATTACCTTGTTATTTTCCTAAATTAATTAAACAGCATATGGTCCCATGCCAGACTCCTGAGAATTTTTATCGGTCAAGGTTTTTAATTTGTCATGCTGGTTAGTACGCAGTACGCAGTACGCAGACTTTCACCATTTCCTCTTACGCGCAAAGCAGGAGTTTTAAATTTATTTTTGGTCTTACAACTGAGGGGTTTATTACAAGGGGGCTTACTTTAAACAGAATTAAATCGCCGCTCTTCAATTAGACCCCAGCGGTCCGATTCACAGTGCTATGCTGTTAGTACCCCATATACAGTAAGAAAACTTGCTGATTGATTTTGTTTAAACAAATCCGCAAAATTACTGTTGAATTAATAGAATACAGCATGACCTCTCAGCAGCCGTGGGTGTAAAAAAAGTTATCTACGATTAGTCCATAACAATGCAATGGGGAGAAAATATGGGGCAGTAGGAGGGGAAAGGGCGATAAATATACCAAGTGGGTCACGTTCGATATATTAGTATTCTAATATGGTTTCAGGACAAAATTGCAAACTTTTTAAGTTCCTTTTGTCTTTAATTCCCAATGAGAGACTTGGATACACAGAAAACACCACCAAATATAAAACTGAGTTTGCCCTGAAAGCCTCGGAGCCATGTTAGAATGTTGATATATCGTGGCCTATTGAATTTCATTGTTTTTATCCCGTTAAGGGGGCATGCAAAAAAGACGATTTTATAAAGGAAGATGGCTATATGATATAGAGGATATACTGTACATATGCAGAGACGTAAGCCGACTAACTAGAGTTGAAGCTTATCCAGAAAATATATTTCGGGCAGAGCAAAAACGATGACTAGCTTAGCGAAAAGGATAGATCAGGTAGGCTCTGCGGACATTCAGTTATTACAAAAAAATAAAAGGTGCAGCTTTCTTTGGAAGTTTGCGATTGTTAATGTTAGATATTCCTTGTCGTAAAAGTTTGCATCACATCAAACTCAACTTTCCGCCAAAATGCCACGACAGCATCCACAGAATTCGACAACCAAGCTTTGACCTTAGCACAGCTAAGCTTACTTTCGAAGTAACCCTAACCCTAACCCAAATAAAAGATATTGTTGTTGTTGTTGTTGTTGCGATTGTTGTTTATGTGTAATATTCCTTGTCGTGAAAGTTTGCATCGAACTCAACTTTTCGCCAAAATGCCACGGCATCGGCCTTAGAATTCGACAACCAAGCTTTGAACTTGCCAAGGTAATCCGTCAACAGTTTCCTAAGGTAATCATTGTTCAAGCATTCCTTTTCATGGTTCGACGTGATGAGGAAAACTTGACACAAACGCGCAGAGACAACGTCATACAACAAGTCGAACTCCAGACCGGGAAGAGGATAAACAGCCTGGTACCCAGCTAGGAGATAACCGCTGACCAATAACACGTCTTCTTCGTTGATGAAGGCAGCTATGCTATTTGCTAATTCGAACAGCAAACACGAGTGACGTATGTCACCAAAATCAACCAGTCCTGAGATTTTAAACTTGTCACTGCTCATTTCGATGAGGAGATTGTCTTTATTTACATCATTGTGGATGGTTCCCCGACGCAGAAGCGAAAGTTTAGGAGCCACCTGTGTGGCAAAAGTATCTAGTGCTTCGCGGACGAGATCTTTGTTTTCCTCGCCTTCAACGGAAGTGACGTAGGATTCGAGCGAAAGAAACTTTTCCATGCTCCATCTATCCAATTTTCCACGTAATACGGGACATTGGAAATCCTAATTATAAACAAGAAGAAAATTAAATGCATGATCTTTTTGTGCTCGTAAAACTGGCATATTATGTTGAAAAAAGGACCTTTCACCCTATAAATTTTTTCTGTGAAAAGAGGAACGGTCATTCCAAACGTGAGAGGACGGAAATAATAGACCTACATCTAAAACGCGTTTTTGCAGGATGTTATTACTAAAAACCGCCACCAATTCCTCAAATAATGCCTCTTTTCCGCTAAACGTCACGTGACTTGTCACATGACCTGTCAGAAGTACTAATTCTACTTAAAAATTTTCAGGACGTCAAAACCTAACTGTGTGCTAAATCTGGTTCCATTGCCATTTATACATTCAGAAATATGACTAGTTCATATAGTGTGATCGTCCGGGTGAGTGTAGTTCTGAAAAGAACTGTTGTTGGTGACTTCAAACCATTTACTGAGAAATATGACTAATAAATTATTTTCACCAGTAAAAGCCTTTGACCCAGGCCTTAAACTACATGAGAAGTGTGGTCTTGATTGACACCAATTTTCTTTAACCAATAGAAATCGTAAAATATAGATTTAGCCAAGCCTAGAAGTGGAGCTCCTGATTACAATAATTAACCATAAATGAAAATCGGATTTTTTCCCCTGGATCAGAAACTCAAAAAATAATCAGTTGTGAGCATGTGATTGTTCTGTGTGCGATTTCACGATTTTTTCTAATTACATTTTAACAAACCATACCAAATGAGTGTACCCAAGATTATAAAATAACTGCGTACGTAATATATCAGTGACGATTGTGCAAGGAATTTGTCAGAGGAAAAGTCAACAACGCGTCAGGGTTTAATTTGCGCCGAAATTTTGCCTTTGCATGTACTCCCTCCGTATCCCCCAGAGTAATAACCTGGCTTGAGCCTGCGATCCAATCAAAAACCTTGTACCTGGTCAACGGTAGACTTAAAAAAAATACACGCGACCTCGATGAGCTCTTGATCTGAGCCCGCGATGTGGTCAAGTGATACTGGTCAGCGGATACCTTCTTTTGACAGCTGTCAATTAATCATAACATGGATGTCCAATATCAAAGTCATACCCATGATAATTGTGCTACTCTCCTATTTTTCAAGGAATGGGGCTTGGCGTACGGACGTACGAACAGTCACGTGACAACCAAAATTTTTGAGTTCGATAGGTTACCAAATTTTGTAAGGTATGGGGCTCCGCTCTCACGCCCTCGGCGCGCAGAAGCTCCGCTAATACTATCACGCCGAAACGAATTCAGTTTGAAGTTTAAGGTGCCTTTTTGAAAATCTCTTTATCCGCAGGCTTTGACCTTTTGTCAGTAATGAATANACCCAAGATTATAAAATAACTGCGTACGTAATATATCAGTGACGATTGTGCAAGGAATTTGTCAGAGGAAAAGTCAACAACGCGTCAGGGTTTAATTTGCGCCGAAATTTTGCCTTTGCACGTACTCCCTCCGTATCCCTCGGAGTAATAACCTGGCTTGAGCCCGCGATCCAATCAAAAACCTTGTACCGGGTCAACGGTAGACTTAAAAAAAATACACGCGACCTCGATGAGCTCTTGATCTGAGCCCGCGACATGGTCAAGTGATACTGGTCAGCGGATACCTTTTTTTGACAGCTGTCAATTAATCATAACATGGATGTCCAATATCAAAGCTATACCCATGATAATTGTGCTACTCTCCTATTTTTCAAGGAATGGGGTTTGGCGTACGGACGTACGAGCAGTCACGTGACAACCAAAATTTTTGAGATCGATAGGTTACCAAATTTTCTAAGGTATGGGGCTCCGCTCTCACGCCCTCGGCGCGCAGAAGCTCCGCTAATACTATCACGCCAAAACGAATTCAGTTTGAAGTTTAAGGTGCCTTTTTGAAAATCTCTTTATCCGCAGGCTTTGGCCTTTTGTCAGTAATGAATAATTATCATGTTTATGCTGTGTGAAGGCCATGTCCGTTGAATACAAGCAGAAACACTTTATAAAACTTCTTTACTAACTGCGCTGCAAAGTCAATGTTGACGCACGGTCTGTGAACAGATGAACTCATAATTTTAGTACGTGATATCACCACATTGAATCTCACTATCAGTGTTCACCGAACCGAAGCAAGTAGATACGTAAAATAAATATTCATCTAAACAATGATCTCCACAGATGCTCTGTACAATACATGAGCCTCACATTCATGTGAAAAAATTCTTTGTCTGGAAACATGAGTACGAGGCTAAGGATGTACAAAGCACTGCAGGGGAACCGCTATTCAAATTTAGACGGCATTTATGTAAAGGTCTACTTGGCGTGAGGGTAAAGCGGCCTTCACTCGGCAACTCGGCTTAAGTTGGCAAAATCGTGTTCGCAAACTTCAAAAAGTTGGCAAACTCGTTCCTTCACACGTCAAACTTGCGTCAAGCCACAACACACGGTAATTTGCAGTGGCACTCACGTAATACAGTGAAACAGAAGAAGAAAAGAACAGAAAGCGGTAGAGAAATAGAAAGGTTGGAGGAAACCCAGTTTGTCCGCTAGCTCCTCCATTTTCTTTTGTTTGTCTTTAGTATTTTTGTAGGCTTCAGATGAAACGTCCTGCACAGCCGGACAATTGTGAACCTCTTCGATAAATTTAAAACTGGCCTCACGTTCATCTTGACTGGCAACCGCCGTTTTGTGAAGTGCCACGCAAATAAATCACGTGAATAGAGCGCGTGTTTTTGGTTGCTTGACAGTTACCAAGACTTTTGCCAATCGTTCACACGTCAGATACGAGCCTACCAACACGAAAAAGTTGGTGAAAAAGGTGGCGAGAATAGAGGCAAGTTTATCGCCAACAGTTTGCCAACGTGCTTGCCGACTTTTTTATGCCTTTCGCACTCAACAACTTGAGTTTGCCAACACGAGTTTGCAAACTTCAGTTTACCGCGTGAAGACCGCTTAAGGGCCGGAGAAGGGGAATATCGGACCCAGGCCTTGACGGTACAGATTGCCGGAGTGCAGCGAGGGGTTCGCACAGAGCTGATATTCC